TGTAGAGGAAGAAACGTGGAAACGAAGGCATGCAGCCAATGACTATGGTCCCAAAATATTCGACCATGGTCCATATGCCCACCTTTGTCAAGATCCACGATAGGTCTGGATCGTAGAGCATAGGGACGCGGAGTACAACGCCCAGAACAGCAATTCCACAGGTTCTGTGGCCGTGTTAGCAGCTTGTTAATATGGGAAGAAGGTAAGCACTCACAAGATGCCTACTCCAAACACGGCAGATGTCCCAATCTTTCTCTTCAGGGGCATTTGCAAGTGGCATATCGCCAGAAGCGGCACCACCAGAATTCCAAGATCCAGAAATAAGTTCACAGCGCCAGACACCACCCCTGCGGCAGCCACGTTGATACACTGTCCTTCCAGCAGGACATTCCAAGCTTTCTCTCGAGGTGAGCACTGAAAGATGAAGCTGAACAGAGCAGCGGTGTTATATGCCGTGTTGACGAAGAGCAGGCCGTGGATACTCCAAAAGATATAATCTCTAGACTGGCCCGAACAGAAGATCCGCTTCAGCTGCAACATGATGGAGCATTTTGCCGCCCACATTGTGACAGCGTAGAGTATCTCTCCGAGGTAATTCATCTTGTCTTGATTGTCAGCACCAGATCCGCGGTGGAGCAGGAATTGAGACTCACGTAGGCTAGATATGGGACGTCTATGGCTCTGACATCCCAAAAGTGACGAGATGCTCCCTTCAAAGAGTCGTGAAGGAAAGTTGAATCCCATGCGACGATGCCACACTGAATGATGTTAGACCATACCGACTTTGCCAGTTTGAATAAGAGTATACTGTACAGCGGCTAGAATTGCAAAGTCTAAGCTATATTAGCAGGTAAGTAATAAACGCTGGGGACATTTTGTCTTACAGTCTTCTATTCCCATATTGCTCAGGATAACTGCCTTCGTGTAAATTCTTACCGTGACCACAATCAACGTCAGAGACATGGTAGAAACGGCCACAACCATCACCAACGTTTGCATCGATTCCGGATCATCGAAATTCGATGTCTGTCCCGGCGGAGGCGTCATCGCCGGTATCATGGCTATTATATCGTAATTCATCTTGGCGTGTTACCTTGTTGTCTGGTGCTGCTTGCTAGGTTCTCAACACAACGAAAAGAGAACAACCTAACACTAACACACGAAAGCAAAAAGCTCGAGAACAATATCATTTCAAGTACGACTGTCTATATCTCGCCTCCTTTGGTCACATCGGGCTATTCTAACCTGTATCGGCTTGGAATCAGCCCCCACGGGTGTCATGGTTGGCTTGAATGGCCACGCCAGCCGCATGTATGTGCCACAACACCAGCAAACTGGGCCGATGAGTGTGTCACACCACTGGCTGATCCTAAGCTATGTACAGAATCGGTTTAAGTCTAGGCAGACTGTTCTCGAGTCTTTCTTGGAGCATGACTGTTTAGCTGTGTCTGCCTGCTATTATGCGTCGGTAGTAGGAAATTCAGCCCTACAAGTCTTCTCTCGGCTCAAAGTCTTCTTTTGATTTTACTTCGCTTCAAGCGGAGAATCAATGCGGCCCAGGCTTTTCCTGATTGCATTGCTCGTTGTGCTCTTCGTTAGCCGGGACTCCTCTACCACTGCCCTCTTCCGTAAAAGGGGTTGTCAATGTCCCAAATGGAAATCCCAACGAAGGTGGCTTTTTTAAGGGGTTGAACCCTAAACAAAGTATATTTCCGAAGCTGCAAACATAGAGAAAGGTGTGTATAAAAACTTGAGGCTCTTGCCTTCTGTTTCTTCCATAGCCTGTTCAGGGGTTGATCATCCCACACCCAGAGGTCGTCAAAATTGGCCGGAGTTTACTTCCACTACATTACTCTTTAACTTCGGATGGGTCTCATAGCTGGACAGCATAGGTAGAGTGCAGTTTAACTCATTAAGAGGATGAGCGCGCAGTGATTGCAGGCGTAATTCTCTCTGATCCGGCCGTACCATGTACCTCATAGCCTCATGGAGTGCTTACTTGTGGGCATAGTCAGTGGGAGCAGATTGTCGGTTGATCCATAACTAGCAAGCCGGCATCATTGAAGAAATACAGCTGATGATTAACCAAACCCGCCCTAGCTGACCAACCTTTTGGTTCAACAATGTCGATGCCCGTGGCCGAGACAGCGTCGTCATCTGGGTGGGCCCGAGAGTTGAATCGGGCCGTGAACGTACTGGATCGACCGAGATGATCTGCAAGCTACAATCAGGCTTGAGGGGTTTAAAAGCAAGTCTATCTCAATCCAACAAAGGGGGTGGGGATCGAGTGGTCAAAAAAAATTAAAATTGATGATTTCGTCCAGGCTCGAACTGGAGACCTTCAGTGTGTTAGACTGACGTGATAACCAACTACACCACGAAACCGTGCTAATATGTTATTAAATTAACCCTGGCTAATGGTCTATCAAGCTGAAGAAAGACTCGGTGCTGGGCAGGGAACGATCCATTCAGCAGTTGCGCCATGCCAGCCGCAGCGTGATGTGCGCGAGCCTGCTGTGGGCTTCAAACTTTTGTATGGAAAATACCGTCTCTAACAGACAAAGTCTCCAATTACATGTTGGCACATGCCAACAAATGCTTCGTTGCCAGCAGGCAGGCCTTCCCGTTTCCAGAAGAGTTGGAAGTTTTCCATGAATTGTCGGTCAACGTCGTCAATCCACATCCTCCTTGTCACGGTTCGCGGGAACTGCCAGCAAACGCATTCAAGTTCAGTAAAACAAAACGCAAACTGAAATTTGGTAGGAGCGACGCCAAACTTTCATCTGTTCGACCCCATTGCTTTTTTTGGTGTTTTGTGTTGCGCTGTGGCAACCGAATCATTGGTCAAAAATGCTCCCCTGACAACACCACAACCAATCGGACTCTTCGTATCGATCGACAAAAGCAAGAGTTGACGCAAAACACCACTGGAATTTTATGATGCAAAAAACTGAATGGCGGCAAACACCAAAGTTCCCTGAGATGTCCAGCCCCCTTTTCTTGTCTCGGTCCGACCGAGACCCCCCAGGCCGCCCTCCCTTGAGGGCCCCCCCTGGTCACTGCCTCGAGACCATATATGATCAATGTGTCCGTGACATGTCCCATCGCAGGCGGATCTCCCCCGCATTCTGTCTTTTGTTCTGCAACCCAATCTCACGTTAACGAGCCGGGAATCTCGCCGAGGGTTGGAGGGCTTTTTGGAAGAAAGTACAATGACGCCACCGCTTAAGCTCGCACCGATGGAGACGATTCACGAGATAAATACGCCAACGAGGATTCATCATCTCAGTCCCGGGATGCCAGGTGCCGCTGCCGAAGCCATGATGTTCACGGTCAGATCAAATCATTTTCCGAGCCGAGATGGTGGTGGAGACTTGCCAGCTGGTACTGCAAGTGGTCAGCAAGCAACCGGGAGATCTGCATCGATGAAGTTGCCTGTTGGGAGAAAGGCAAGCTTTCGTGTGAGGGAGTGGATGAGGCAGTCAAACACGAGCGGGTATGAATATCAGATTACAGCACTGAATTTATTCTAAAGATGACTGACGTATCTGGGCTTTTAGAGCATCTAGCAGCAAGACCAAGGAGACCACAACAACACCAATTGTCAAAAGGCCCAAGATCACTCATCTTGGAGGAGGACGCATCTCAGAGGAGCAAATCGAGCATGCTGCCCCTCGAGAGCAAAGTCTGGCAGGAAGAAGGGTGCAGCGAAGTCGAGCCAGCTCTCTTGAAAGTCGACGAACGCAGTGGTTGGATTTCTACTCGGACGACTTGCATAATGCTCAATTTTCTTCCACGACACAAGTTACTCCCAAACCTCAACAGTCTCTCACTCGCTCATCCACGACAACTCAACTGCCCTCCACCAAAACCACTCCGACTTCAACTGCATCAGCATCATCTCACGCTACTCGACCACAGCCAAAGACCGAATTCAATCCAGATATCGAACTCCGTCCTCTGCCTCTTCGCGTCCCTTCCCTCGAAAGGGAGAGATCGCCTGATGCGAATTTCTCACAGTCATCGAACTCAAATTCACTGACACGAAAGAACTCGAAATGGAAAGCCCTTCCCAGCTTACCAGCACCTCCAGTGATCCAGCCCATCGCGGAACCATCCAAGACACATAATGAAGCGAAAGAGTCAACAACAAGGACAGAAACCAGACCTGCAAAAACCGAAGTGGAAAATGTCGCAAACCTGATGGAAAAGATCATCCTCGAGCCAGAACCCCAATCTCAACCCGCTGAATCCCTACCAGTCCTCCAGGCCATCGTCTATCAGCCTTCTCACACCGAAAAGCCCTCATCGAGAGGAAAACATGCACAACACGACCTGGCAACACCCCCGCCAACTCCAGACAGCAATACAGACGGTGCAACAGTCACAGCATCAAGGGGAGCATCAACACCTCGCACGCACTCCCGAACTAAATCCTCCGACCACCACCCTGAAAGACCAGCCTCACCAAGATCGCAGAGAAAGACAACAGGAAAAGTGACATACCCGCAAAGAACCCACTCCCTCCGGCACACACGACAGGAACGCGCCTGGCTGCACGCCAACTACCGGGGGGAAGCCCCCTTTCTTCAGGCTTGGGGGCTGGATATTTCTCGACAAAAAGACAGGGAAGAAGGATTGGCACTGATGCGGGAATTGATGCATGAGGATTTGCTTCTTTCGACCACTGCCAGCAGTCGCAGTGAGACGAGGGGGGTGTCTTGGATTCTGATCGGCATTCCACGAGAGTGAGGGGGAGGGTCAGGGATGAATGAATGATGATATGATTGCGCGATGAATTATGATATTTTGTGGGGGAGTTGGATGGAATAGATATAAATATCTTGTAATTGAAGAATTCCAATTTCCACATTCAAGTGACGCTGACGATGAGGTTGCAAGAATGTGGTTATCCTGATGAGGTGAAAAGGGGCTTCGGTGTGGTTGTGCTGATGGTAACTGAGTGGTATATAAAGGAGTAAGCTAACGGGATAAGACGAGTCACTTTGGCCGAGTGGTTAAGGCGCGCCCCTGCTACTAGTAGCTGTTTAGGGCGTTTCTTCGGAAGCGTAGGTTCGAATCCTGCAGGTGACGATTATCTTTTGCACCTTTTTTTGCTCTTATGATCGATCTCCCTTCTTTTTGGTTGCCACCCGACGATTAAATTCTTATTTTTTCAAAAAGAAAAAGATCGGAAGACCGACATGAAAAAAATGTTCTGATATAGAAGATACACGGGAAAGTTTTGTCACCGAATCACTTGGCACTGAAAAGACGGGAGGGGAAGCACAACCACTCCTCAACAACGAGTAGGAGGAAAAAAACGAGACAAGAAGCGACAAAAAGAAGATGGCCGAATCGTCGACGGGAATTGAGCCCGACGTGGGGGTCGAACCCACAACCTTGAGATGTTATATCTTTACGGAGATACTCCTTAAGAGTCTCACGCTCTACCGATTGAGCTAGCCGGGCGGATGCCGACGGCCATTTTACTGTTTGTTGTTACTTGTCTCTGGAGACTGAGGCTTTATATCTCTGGTTGTGTGACGGAGAGGGCTTGAGTCTGTAGTGGTGTTGAAGGTTGCTGGCTGGGTTGCCTGGTCAAGGGCTTGGTGGCTAAATCCACAGTGTTGAGTCAGGGGTAAGCTGTGGCACTGGCCAGGGGGGAATGGTTAAGCAGCGTTGCACAAGGAATATAGAAAGGAAAGTCTAGTCAAGGCAGATTGAACATTGGCAAAGGACAGACTTTGGGAATGTGTCTGAATACAAATGGTCTAAGAAGCAGGTGGTGTGGGCGGGTGGTTCAGTCAAAGTCACTGGAAACGGAAACTCATGAGTTTATAAAGATAAACCGCCTTCCATGCATTATCTAGTGTAGAATAGTACTAACGAGCCATATATGCCTAGAGCCCTTGATGCGCGTTTTGCCAAATGTCCTCAGTCATGAGCCTGGTTGGCGCAGACAGATCGAGAGCGTGTCGATGCAAATTGTCATACACGTGGTGAATTCGCAACCGGCAGAAAACTTCTCGTAACAATCTTCCATTTCTGTAGGTTACGGGAAGATTTCAGCCGGTTGCGAATGCACAACATCTACAACAATTTACATCGGCGCGCTCTCGACTCTCGGTAAGGGTTCCTGTCGGGCACTCGAGGTATGGGTCGGGTGGAATGGTGGTCCTCTGAAGAGAGGAAGAAGAAGAAGGAAGAAGAGTTAGCTGTCTAGGTATGGGCTATATATCCACGGTAGTGTGGATCTAGGGCAAGGGCATAGTGGAGCGTTGCCCCCGACAGTTCTAGGCATTGTGCTATGCCACTATCACGAGGTGCCTCCTTTCTGTTGGCCCGAATCAATTTACCAGTAGCTCGGTCTTCTCAAATGACGTACAGTTCGTCAACACCGTGGCCAGGTACCGGTTCATATCGGGCTGCTTCTGTGACTGAGGTATATACCTCTTTACCATTCTACAATTAGATCCCTTGCTACCCTATGCTACCTAATAAAGTACAAAAAGAAAAGGAAAAAAAAAGAAAACAAGGCCCATCTAGATGCCATATGTAAATGCTCAAACTCTCAATCTGAATGTCTCTCATCCCGTATATCATGCAGTGTGTTGTGGTGTTTGTGTATCATGCCCGTATATCATGCCCGTCTTTCCGTGCTCGTCTTTCGTAAAAATCCAAATGCTTGTTCGTGGTGTTCCGTGTACAATCTAGTCGTTGTTTGTCCTCCTCGTTTCATGACGTATAAAAAAGGGCAGTGAAAAAGGGAAAAGGAAAAAGAAAAGCTTTTGAAGAAAATCCATCCATCAGACTCTCCTGAACCCAGCAGCTCTTCTCCTCGAAGCGGCGATCTGGGATTTGGTGTGTCGAGTAAGCGTGGACACTGCGGCGCTGGCACCGGCGCTGTTGCCGGCGGTGTCGGTGGCGTTGGTATTGCCATCACCTCCGCGAAAAAAGTGCCAATTGCCAACCCAAACCCAGCCCCAAGCTGCCTTTAGAAGTTTGCGAACAGAAAACCCGTGGCGGATGATTGTCCAGAAGAACAAGCCCTGGAAGGCAATGGCAGAGATGAGTCCCCAGTCGTATTGTTCGCCCGGTTCCGAGGCGGAGGCGGAGGACCCATAAAGGAGGGCGACGATACCGCTGAACCAGAAGAGCTGCGTTTTGATGCCGGAGGTCCAGGATGATGGTTTTGTTGTTGACGTAGATGCAGATGCGGTAAAAGAAGAAGGGGGGTCATTATTCGTGTTGACAAAGGAAAAGTTACAAGATTCTTGAGTTGTTGTTTTGGGTTTAGTGGTTGACGTAGTAGGAGTTACCGCGGTTGCCGGGGTAGACGAAGCCGTAGAGAGGGTTTCCGAGGAAGACGAAGAAGTCGTGGAGTGCTGGCCACCACTTCTCACCTCAACATGGATCTTGTGGACCGTGCCGGTGGTAGTGGTGCTGCTACTGGGTTGAGGTGAGAAGAATTTGGCTAGTCACATACCCCTACCAAAGAGCACAGGGTACCGGAGGAACCGCTTCTTCCACCCGCCGCTGCTGGCGTGCGACTGCGACTCCTTGCCGCTCACGACGTGTGGGTGCTTCTGACCGGAGGCCGACTGTTGAGCCTCTGGCTGAGCTGCCTGTGCAGAGCCGGAAGCTGAAACTGGAACGACGGCGTCCTTGTCCTTACCGGAGATGGGGAGCGCGTTCTTGCTCCCGCGGAACGAAAGCTTCGAGCGCGTCCGACGGAGGCCGAGGTGGAGGGACGAGGCGGAAGATCGCGGGTTCGCGCCTGAGAGAGAGACGTTCCTCTTGCTCTTCCGAGAGAGCGACCGGGTGAGGGAGTTCGAGACCGGGACCGACTCCACAGGGGCTTCCTCCTTTTGCTCGTCGTGGACGACGACGACGGGCTGAGGCTCCTCGGTATGAGCGGGCCCAACGGGGAGATCAGCGTTGGGTACGCTGTTGGTGTTCTCCTCGGCGACCGGGGCTTGGGTGATGGCGTCCTGAACTTTGTCAGAGGGAACGTTGTTGTCCGCAGCGCTGCTGGTGGCCTCGGCGGCGTCGACAGGAAGCTGTGCCTGAAAGTATGCGTTAGCTTTGATGCGGAAGAAACAGAAGTTTGGATCGGATGTACCTCTTCAGTGGCAGAGGGCTCTGGTTGGGGGGAGACTGACTTCTCCTTCTCCTTGGCTTCAACATTCTCAACGAGAGGCGAAGAGGCGGCCTCGAGGATCTCGGCGGGAAGTTCGAGCTTGGCAGGGAGAGCGGCTTCGTGCTTGGGGGAGGGAAGGGTGGCAGAAAGGGCAGACTTGAGGGCGGACTCGGATTCCTCGGTGACGGGCTCGGAGACGATCTCGTGGGTGATCGGGGAAGTGATGGCAGACTCCTTCTCGGCCTTGTCTTCAGCCTTCTTCTCGACAGGGGCCTCGAGTTCGGCCTCGACCTTGGTGTCAACAACCTCCTTGTCGTCAGAGGCAGCGACGGTCTCAGCCTCCTTGGGCTCCTCCTTTACCGCAGGGGTAGGAACGGGCTCAGACGCAGAGGCCACAGGGATGTCGACGACAGAGGGGGCGGAGTCCCTGTCCTTGAGAGAGACGGTTTCGGAGTGGGGGTCCTCCCAAAAGCCAGAGTCGGTCTGTCTGAGGATGGAGCGCTGGATTGCGGCAGGCTTGATCTCGGGCATGGATTCGGGGATGACGACGGGGATCGGGATCTGAGCAGCGCTCTCCTGGGGAACAGGGAGGATGTTGAACTGAGGCTCGGATGACTCCTCCAGCTCCATGAGCTTGCCAGAGTCGGAACGCTCACGCTGCTTGAGAGGGACAGCAATGGAGACATCAGTCTTGTCCTCCTTCTTCTCCTCCTTGGGTTCCTCCTTAGTCTCCTCCTGAGCTGGGACGGGGGCGGCCTCAGACTCAACGGTGGGCTCGGGCTTCACCTCGGTCTCGGTCACCGGCTCGACGGCGAGCTTGAGTTCCGGCTCGAGTTCCGAAGGAGTGGCCTTCTCCCCCAGCTCGTGAGACTTTGTTCTCCTGATCTCCTCAACGACCTCCTTGTAGTGCTCCTTGACCTCCTCCTCGGACTCCTCAGCGATGGACTTGAGTGCAGGCTCATGCTTGATCTCCCTCTCAGCCGCGGCAGGGGCAGCGACCTCCTTCTCCTCAATGACCAGCTCGGGCTCAATCTCCTCGACGGTAGGTACCGGCTCGGCAATGGGCTCATCCAACTCAAACATGGGCTTGGACTGGGCCTCCTCAACCTGAACGGGTGTCTCAACCGTCTGCAGAGGGTCAGCCGAAATCTCCTGGTTGGACCATCCATCCACAACCGTTACGTCATCAGACGACGACCATGGGACTGCCTTCTTTTTCGAAGAGGGCGAGGAGTACGAATCCTCTCTAATGATGGACCTGGACCTCAGATCAAGGGCCGACATGTTCCCCGGAGTGCTTGGCAGGGGGGACCCTGGCCTTGAACTTCCGGGGCTTGTGATGGGGCTGGACAGGGGTTCTGTTGGCGCCTTCTTGGGGGTGTGTGGTTGCTGTTGTTGTTGTTGCTGCTGCTGCTGCTGTTCCTGCTGCTGTTGTGGTTGAGGGGCCGGCTGAGGCTTGTTGTTGATGATGTTCTCGCAAAAGAGCTCGAGAACGGTCCGAAGGAGGACCCGGTTTGGGGACAGGATGCTGCTGATGCGGTCGAGCAGGTCTGTCTCCTTGAGGGCTTTGGCATCCTTCAGATGAGGACGGATTCGTGCCCTTAAAAAATCCAAGAACCAATCATCATTGTCGTTGAGGGTGGGATGGGCGTCCCTGGCGACCTCGAGGAGGGCCGGAAGGGGGATGCCCGAGCCGAACTTCTCGATCTTGGCTTCGGCGAGCTTCATGAGATCGGGAAGCTCGTATGCCCGAGCAGCGGCGTAGGCTTGTATGCTGGTCTTGAGCTCGACGAGCTGTTGTGTCAGGTTGTCAACGGGCTTTGGCTTGAGGGTCTCGTAGGTCCCGGTGTGGAGGTAGTGAACGAGAACGTGGCCGACGTCCTCTGAGAGCAGGGGAAGTTCAGGGAGCTTGTCCTCGAAAGCAGCGTGGAGCTTTGGGCTCTTGATGAGG